TAAGAGTTTCTAGAGACTTACTAGAAGAATCACCTCCTCTTCCTGATACAGATGGGGAGACAACCTTACAATGGAGATTTCCCTTATAAAAGAGTAACTTACTCATTTCCAGAGCTTCTCCCCTGTCTGCTGTTTCTTAAAAATAATCAGCTCAAGTGAATCCCTATGTCAAAGAGACATATTCTGGGGTGTTAAATTCTGATTTCCTTCATGAGCTATTATGACCTACCTCTGGCATGCATGATTAGTCTTACAGTTGCTTATGAAATCATTAGAGACACTGGCATCCAGGACAGATATCTAAGAGGAGTTGTCTCATCCTATATAATAAAAGCCTAATATGCTAAGTGTCTGGTCGTCTGGTCGTCCGTTTAGCCAATCAAAGAGTAATATACTAATGATATGCCAAGGCTGCTCAACTGCTTGCTATGACATGCACTGACCACCAGGGGGCAGACAGTCAATTGGTTGACCAGTCACTATGATGTGCACTGACTACCAGGGGGCAGATGCTCTGACCGGTAGCTTAGCTTGCTGTTGGGGTCCAGCTGATCAGGACTGAGTGAGATGGGCTGGACATGTCCTGGAGCCCTCCCACGGTCCCTCCTGGCTGGCTAACCTCCTGCGTCCCTCCCCGCCCCGATTGTGCACTGATGGGGTCCCTCGGCTTGGCCTGCACCCTCTTGCAATCCGGGCTGAGGAACATCCCCCCTCCCTGAGCTTACGAATTTCGTGCACCAGGCCTCTAGTATACACATAAAAGAAGAGATAGATTTTTCTCTAAGAATGAAGGTAAACTCTTTCTGAGTCTGAGTACCAGAAGAGAGTGAGTAAAATTTATTTTATTGTGCCATTTCTCTGCTTAATCCACATAGTAAAATAGAAGGCTCTGGGCCTTTGCGGAAATTTAGGGTTCTACAGCAAATTTGATATTTGGCCTGCTTCAAAGTAGCTTTACCTGCCTTCTAGATGATGCTGACCAGGAATACAGCTATAGCTTGTATTCTGACTCTGTATCAATCACATTGCTGCTGCTGACATGCTTGACCTTGAATTTGGCTTTAGACCTCTCCAGTTCAAGTAAAGGATAGTTCACAGCATTGTGGACTTTATTAATTAGAGTATCTTTGGCTTTTGAGACATATATAGGAAAAGGATATCAATCTAATATTTAGGTGTGTGGATATGTTTAATTTTTAGCATTTCTTTTGTTTATTGAAAACAGTAACTTTAAAGATCTGAATTTACATAAAATATAATATCCTGAAAACAGAACCATGTTCTACCTTCAGGCACATCAACACACACATGTACACTTGGATGGTGGTACTGGTAAGGAAAATTTATAAATTTGAAGCATTTTAAGCAGATGTCAATGGAAATTTGAGATTGCAGTATTTGATATTATTTCACCTTTAGTTATTTATCATACATATGACTTCTTTTATACCTTTTTGATCCAGGGATTTTCAAAGTCAAAATTAATTTTACATCTCACACAGTGGATTTGTGAAATATTCACAAATAATTAAAAGTCAACTCAGGTGAAGGGTAATTTGTGTTATTCATTAAGCATAATTAATGCATAACATTTTCCTACCTTTAGTTGAAGCCCTATTTGAAATATTTTCTTTTTCCATGTTATTTTTCATCAGCTTTACATGGAAAGCAAATTAAGAAGTGTTTTTAAAAAAACACCCAGACAGCCACTTAGAGTAACTTTTCAGGCAACTTTTATTACTTTGAAGACTGCTTTGCATTTAGAACATTGTACTAGTAAACATCTCCCAACTAACAAAACGACCTTATAGAAGTCATTTGGAGCTTAGTTTGGGCTAAGGAACTTTACCTATAAAAGCAGCTGTCAAGAAGACAGCTATACTATGGGTAAAATAGCCTTTTATGGACTAGTCTGGGAGCCTGATAGTCATTTAATTCTGTCTCTGTGTGGATGATAGATTCAGAATTGATATCAGGCTGTTGGCCATAGTAACTGCTCTCTATTTGGAGAAAGAAAAATTCTTCCAGGGATGATGGCCACTGTCTAATGGCTAGGGCATCTTTTCCACCAGACCTCCCCCTTAGCCTGAGTCTACTTTTTGAAAAGAGACAGCATGGCTAGGAATAAGCCCCATTATTGAATCACAGGGTAGTCTATAATTTTAACAATAAACGAATGACTAAATGAGTACTTCAAAGCTAATGTATTTTAAAGCTTTTATACCTGGAGCTCAATAGGAAAAGCCTTAGAAATAGGTATTTCAACCCTTTAAAAGATTTTCTTTGCACTAAAAATAACGATGCTAGCGGAAAGAGATTATTAAAAAGAAAAGAGTCACTGTGCGTTTGTAGCTCATCCACTTAAGTGCAGTCCTAAACGTAGTGTATTAGAAACAAAGTGCTGCCACAACCCTGCTTGCAGTTTAGTTGGAGACACACAACATAGACTGGTGAAATATATAACTAAAATATGGGCAGCATGTGAACACGCCCTTATTAATGCTACCAGCATGGTAGGCTGTTCTACATCCGTGCCATCCAATATGGGAATCATCAGCCACATGGGGCTATGGAGCACTTGAAGTGTAGCTGAGGAACTGAATTTTACATCTTAGTTAATTTAAATGTCAATAACCACCTGATATAATGGCCAGGGTATTGCACAGCACAGTAGACCTTCATTTAGCATGGCAACCAAGGACTTTCATGATCTAAAGCCAGTGTGACCTCTTTATTCATCAGAGCCAGCTTTACACCCAAAATGCAGTGTGTGTGTTCCCTGAACTGCCTTGCACTTGAACATGATGTGTGTATTTGGGGTGTTTTCTCTCCTTTTGAATGCCCAGGCTTCCTCCTCCCTGCAGGTTCCCCTCAAGGCTCTTCCTACAAATCCCATGGCCTGATCCCAGACTTACTGACTTAGGATCTGAGTATAATGCTTTGGCCATACTAGGTGCTTTCTACATGTTGTAATTGAAAAAGAGAATGTATATATCCTCTGAGAGTGGCTGATTGGGATTAGAACATAAGCTAAACTGGGAAGTTAGCATGCCCTAAATATTAGAACTCAACAAAACACATGCAACAAAAAATAAAACCCCAACTATAGACTGATGCTGGTTATTAATAAAGATGTGAAAATCTTAAATAAAAGATTAGAATGGTCTAATTTAAAACCAATCATGACTGGATAGTTTGTTTCAGGAATTAAATTGATTAACGTATCTTATTTATCAAACAAAAGGGAGAACCCTCATATGGCCACAGGTGCTCAATAGGCAGTCTATAGTATCTAAACCTGGGTGCTCGCAATTTCATAACAAACTAGGAGGAAAAGGATACTTCTTAAATAACAGAAAGACTATCTTTTACAAAGCAATATCCAACAGGAAATTCAATGGGAAAATAGTAGGAGGTTCCTGTTAAAACCAGAAATGAATAAAAGATGTGCACTATTGTGACTAATAAAGTTGTTAAAATGAGACCGACTAATGCTGTCTGGGGAGTGAAGCTGTCATTCTCCTGCCTGTTTATAGAAATAAGAATCAATACAACCTTCTGGAAAATCAGTTAGGTGGTCTATTTCACAAACCATAAAAATATTCATACCCTCTGACTCAGACATTCACTTCCCAGAAATCCTCCTAAGGAAATCCAATATGTTGACAGAGAGATATGAACAGTTACTCATTATGACATTGTTTAGAAAAATCAGAAATGGCAATAATCTAAATGCCCCACAATGGAGAAATAGTTAAGACTATTATGGGATATCCCTACAGTAGAATATAATTGGTCATTAGAAATGTTTAAGGCTTTTTATGCCACGAGAATGTGTCTGTGTTGAATTAGAATGACCCAAATTGTATTTAAACATTAAACATTTCCTCGCTGTGTATGCAAATCTCCTTTGTTTCTAGGTGGAAGAGTTAAAAGTCAGTTTTCTTTCTTTTTGGTTAAATTCCCCTCCCATACTCCTTTCCCCTCTCCCCCCGACCCAGCTGGACTCAGCAAGGGAGCCTGAGCTGTTTCTCAGTACCCAGTGCTCCAGCAGCACAGCATGCCAGAGCTGGGAAGGGACTATGTCTTCCTGTCCCTCTTATTTTACACATCACATACCAGAACCAAGGCCACCCCCTTGGACGGAATACAGCTGACAGTTGGTTCTGCAGTCCTACTCTGAGAGGGTCAGTGATTCAAAAAGCACAGTGAGTGCTGGGAGATGACTTTAAAGACAAGTGTCTGTTCTCTGAAGTCTGTTTCTCACTAGCTGTTGACTACAGTTGAAATTAGAAATGATGTGAGCACTAAGTAGTCGGGAGGGAAGAGCAAGGACAGGATTATTCTGGTGGAAGAGTGGAGTGAGGGAGTTGGTTTGGCACAGCAGAATTCTTTCTTTTTTTAATTCTTTATTGTTGAAAGTATTACATATGTCTCCCTTTCCCCCCATTGACCTCTCCCAGCCTGCTCCTGCCCCCCAGCACAGACCCTCACCCTCCTACTGTGTGTGTCCATTGGTTATCCTTATATGCATGCATACAAGTCCTTTGGTTGATCTGCCTTCCCTCTGAGGTTTGATGGTCTGTCTGATGCTTCTCTGTCTCTGAATCTATTTTTGTTCATCAGTTTATATTGTTCATTATATTCCACAAATGAGTGAGATCATAGCAGAATTCTTTCCATGTCTCTGATACCACCTCTGTAGTCTTGGTCAAGACCATGGCACTATTCTGGACCTTTTTTTAAATTAAAAAATCTATAAAATTAGATTGATGAATCAGACTAAGGTTACTTTCAAATTTATTAAACTATGGAGGTCAGTAATTGACAAGGTGAGGCATGTCTTAAGAATTTCTTTATTAGCAGTAATTGGCTATCACTACAAGATCGTTATAATTGGAAAGAATTTAATAGAGACATTGGGGACTCCATGTAGAATATGACTCTTTCCAGGTGCTCTTCTCTTGGTGAGCAGAATGGTATCATTTTGTTTTTTTCTTTTACTGGGATAACTTGTTGAGTAACCCCTGGAATTCTTCGAAACTAACTTCTCCATCTCCATTCTTGTCCAGTTCTTTAAAAAGATCCTCTAGGGTGTTTGGACCCTGGTGTTAGACAAAGAGGATGGGATGAGGAGAGGAGAGAAAATGAATCAGTTATGTACTGCTACACATTCTCCGAAATTAGAGCACTGCGCCTGCATTCCAAGAAGGCAGCTGAGCTTTTGATCACATGCTACTGATAGTGGTGGCAAAACCAACTTTAGCTGTAATTGCTCCATGTCACAGAACGGGCTACCCTTTTTATTTTCTTTAACATACACTTATTATTTTAATAGGATTGGTTTTCTATGTAATCTTAAGTATTTTCCTTTATGCTTCTAAAGTCATTTTTTAAAAAATATATATTTTTATTGATTTCAGAGAGGAAGGGAGAGGGAGAGAGAGAGAGATAGAAACATCAATGATGAGAGAATCATTGATCGGCTGCCTCCTGCATGCCCCCCAGTAGGGATCGAGCCTGCAACCCAGGCATGTGCCCTTGATGGGAACTGAACCTGGGACCCTTCAGTCTGCAGGCTGACGCTCTATCCACTGAGCCAAACTGGCTAGGGCTAAAACCATTTTTTTGAGATGGAGCCCAAGTGCTTCACTGGACTTCTGAGGGACCCACACCCACAAATAGTTGAGGATCTCTGCCCCAAGATTTCCTGGAAGCTAAGGCATTACACATGGCTTTTTTCGGGCTGGTACTGTATCAATGGCTTTTGGTAGCTTATGCAATCCTCTCAACCACCCTGTGGGGGAGATCCATTTTACAGATGAGGAAACTGAGGATCTGAAACAGCTGTTGACTTACTCCAGGACCCACAGCTGGTAAGCGGGGGACTTGGAGTCCAAACATTGACTCTAGAACCCAAACCCTTAACCAGCAACTACTGTAGTTTTTTCCAAACCCTGGGCCGCAGCCCACCTCTATGCTAGGCAAGATGACTTTGGATCAGTGGTTCTCACACTTGGACATGCATCAGAATCACGAGATGGGCTTCCTGACCTTAGTTAATATGGATTTTAACCATAAGAAAATGAGAAGATAATGGATTATAAGGTCATTGAATTCAGCCCCTATTCTTTTTAGTGCTAATAATAGAAACCTTCTCAACAACTAAAACCGGAAACCTTTTCATATGTCATATTGGCAGAAGGGACATTTCTGGTTAAAATCTGGGAAGCAAATGCTTTCTTCTGAAGTTAAGCTAACAAGTGACCAAGTTGGATATACCAATTGCAGCCCTTCCATTTTGAAGATGGCTTCCAGTTGCGAAGGGAAGAAAGCACATTGGAGGCAGACAGAGAATCCACCTTTCCCCATTCCTTTTTGCTTCTAGATGCGTTTTAATTTTGACAACTCTGGGATGGTTCTTTATGGCTAAAGAAATTTTATCCTTTCCCGAAGGTTGTTGAGAAATGCATGGTTGCCTCATTAACACAAATTTAGTTGCTTAACACAAATGAACAGCAATTTAAATGCTTTTGAAATATAAATGGGTTTCTACAGAAAATAATTTGTCAGTGGGAAGCGGGTTCTCTTAACAGACTGTCCAGTAAGTGTTGGTCTTGTTGAGAGATCCTACCTATAATGATGAAGTACGTCCAAGGCCAAGTAATATTAATTTACTGGCCTCTGTTTTCCTAAAGCCTGGCATGGACATGCTGAATCCAGGCTGACGGTCTTTGTGTGTTTGCGTGGCAACCTGTGCATCTTCCAGGCCTAGCTTGGCAGAAGTGCCATCACTGCTTCCATTACTATGGCTAGTCCAGAGAGTTCTGTGCTAAGGTTATGGGGGAGAGGAGGCTGGGCCCCTGTTTTCTAGGAGCTTGCCATATGAAATGTGGTCTGCCACCAGCGGAGGAAAGCACACGTTAAGTGCTCTCCCTCTGGGATGTCTTGGCTGCTGTGTGCTCTACCCCAGGTGGAACTCTGATCAATATCTCAGACCTCAGCCTCTTCCTGGCTCTTTTCCTCTCCCCTCTCTCCCCTCCCCTCCCACATTCAGAGGCCCGTTCAGGGGGGCTCTGCAGTTGTGCACTTACTTTTAGTAAACTGGGGAATTCAGTCTGAATCAATAGTCTCAGCTCCTCTTTCGACAGCTGATTTGGATCACCTTCTTTAGCTGCGTATTTTTCGAAAATGCTCTTCAGTTCGTTCGGAGACATTTTTGCACTCATTTTGGTGTTCTGTAAATTGGGAAAGAAATGAACTTACCAAAAAGCTGAAGTGGAATTTTATACTAATGATTGCCAGCAGGAGTTCAGTGCCATTGGGCTATTTCCTTGGCACAGATGGGGGATAGTAAAGAAAAGGCTGGGGAGTGGAGTGAGGGGCTGGGGGAGTAATTGAGGGGAGGAGGAGAGGAGAGGGAGTGGAAATTATGGGAAACGCACTAGTGACTGCAAACATGTTTTAAAAATAGTCATTTTAGACAGTATGTTAAATGCCTGTTCTGAGAGTACATCTGTTAGGAGATAGTCCCTGAAGCCAAACACTTTAATTAGTAATTATGACATTCTTCACTTTTTATGTACCTGGTCTGCACTCGGTAGGCTGTGGTCTTGCAGAAACCTGACAACAGCTTCTAGCCTTTAAATGACTGGTAATATCTTTAGAGAGCACCAACCCACTTTCTCTTCAGACCATTATCTTTCACACCATTCTGAAAGGAGGCAGAAAGAGCTCCAGGTAGTACTAAAAGCAAGCACACTTACCTGGTCACCGAACAGCAAGGCAGCTGGGAGAACAAAACAGGAGTATGGAGAGTTGAGCAGATCATGTGGCTTTTATAGTCTGTGCAGAAGGACACACCACCCTGATGATGAAATTTTCCTTTCGTTTGCCATTTAAAGGTAATTATTAATGGTTTCTGAAATCCAATCTTAAGACTGCATGAACCTTATAATTAAGGGTGTTGTAAAATTGGCCAACCGGTACAGACTTGTTAAAGCACCTGACCCATAGAATGGGTTCCTAGGTCTTCCTAGGTCAAGAGGAACAGTTCAAACAGGAGTCCCCCAGGTAGGGACAGTCTTCTCCAACAGGACTTTAGCCACCAGGAGGCAGTAACCTGTCTACAAGGGAAAGCTTCAGCCCAGTGAGAAAACACAGACCATGACTAAAACATATTCATATCCATGAGACAGGGGAAGCTGTATGAAATCTGTTTGCCACACCTCAAATGGTCCGTTAGGCAATTTAAAATGTCCAGGGGCAGTGCAGACAGGCTTCCCCGGGTTGTGTCTTTGCTGTACAGTAGGCACTTTTCATGGCCTTTATTTTATTTTACTTTCATTTTAAAATATATTTTTACTGATTTCAGAAAGGGAAGGAGAGGGAGAGAGAGATAGAAACATCAATGATGATGAGAGAATCATTGATCAGCTGCCTCCTGCACACCCCACACTGGGGATTGAGCCCACAAGCTGGGTATGTGCCCTGACCGGGAAATGAACCATGACCTCCTGGTTCATAGGTTGATGCTTAACCACTGAGCCACGCCAGCTGGGCTTCACGGCCTTATTAATATTTTCTCACCAATATTGATTCATAAATGCCATCATTTTGTCAGTGGACCATATGCATGTACAGTAAAGAGTGGAAACTTCACAGTCTCTGGTAGGACTGGATTGTTATTTGGTTTGAACCAGACCTTTCTCTTTTATCAAACTAGCAATTTTTAGATTTCTAATCTTGTGGGGTTTTTTTTCTTCTTCTTTTTTTCTAAAGCTAATTGTTGGGCTTCTCTAGCCAGTTTTTCTAAATTACTAGCTGGGGAATTATCCCTTTGGACCCTGACAGGGGTTTCACTGCTGCCGATTCCTTTAAGGGTTGCATTCCTTGTAGAAGTGTCAGCAAGGTGATTTCCTTTAGCGTCCAGAGAGTCAAGTTTAGAATGCCCTGGGATCTTAATACTAACTAGCTAAAGCATCAGGTAAAAGTATAGCATCCAATAATTCCTGAACATATGGGCCATTAGTTTTATTTCCACTGGAAGTAAGGAAGCCACATTGTTTCCATAACATTACAAAGTCATGAGCTACTGCAAAGGCTTATGGACTACAGTATAAATGCTGGTAGTTTTGCCCTTGGCTAAAACACAAGCTGGAGTGAAAGCATACAATTCAGCCTACTGAGCTGAAGGAGCCAAAGGTAAAAATGCCTCAATTACTTCAATTGCATAATCAGCACAGTACTTTCCATTTTCATTTCTAAAACATGAACCATCTGTAACACATGGGAAAACAGCTTTACCCAGAGGGGCCTCCTGCAAATCATGATGAGGACTCAGGAGGTGATTTGTCAGTGTCAAGCAGTCATGAGGGGCTTTATGGCTCTCAGAAGGGTGAAGAATAGTTGGATTAAGGTTATTACAATGCGAAAGAGTGGTGTGAGGAGCAATTAGCAGAAGGATTTCATAGGAAAGAAGGCAACTGACTGAAAGATGCTGGGTATAATGAGGATTCAGGAGGGCTTCTACTGAGTGGGGTACAAAGATGGTTAGAGGGGATCCTGCAACAATGTCCTCAGTGGCCTCAACCAAGAGGGCAGTGGCAGTAATGGCTCTAAGGCAAGGGGACACACAGAGTCCAGTTGCTGACTGTAGTATCCTAGGGATCTGTCGTGGTCCCCATGGTTTTTGGGTGAATATCCCAAGGGCATCCCCCCCTTTTTAAATAACATTTTATTTTTTAATTGATTTAAATTTATTTATTGTCTAAAGTTTTACATGTCTCCTTTATCCCCAATTGATCTCCACCCCCCTCTCCCGCCATTCCCACCCTGGGCAAGCCCCCACTGCTCCAGTGTCTGTGTCCATTGGTTATGCTAGTATTCATGCATATAAGTCCTTTGGTTGCTCTCTATCTCCCCCAAGGGCATTCCCTTTCTTTTCATAGACAAGAGGGAAAAAGGGGCCCTAGCCGGTTTCTCAGTGGTTAGAGCGTTGGCCTGCAGACTAAAGGGTCATGGTTTCAATTCCCGGTCAAGGGCACGTACCCCAGTTGCAGGCTGGATCCCTGGCCCAGGTCAGGGTGTGTGTGGGAGGCAACCAATCAATGTATCTTCCTCACATTGATGTTTCTCTCTATTTCTCCCCCTCCTCCCTCCCGTCCACTCTCTAAAAAAATCAATGGAAAATATCCTTGGGTGAGGATTAAAAAAAAAAGGAAAAAGGGATTTGATCATTGGGATGTACAAGAGCAGGTGGATTTATTAAACCCTTCTTTAAGTCTTTAAAGGCTGTGTCCTCCCATTCTTCCCATACAATCGGGTCAGGACAGTCATTCTTTAGTAAAACGTACAGAAGTTTTGTTATGAGAGATTCATTATCAGTTTGAAGAAAAGTTTCTCTAAGCTGATCTGAGCCGATTAAGAGGGAGGATTAGAAAAAGCCCCTGAAGTTCCTCAGAGAGACATCATTGAGGATTAGGAGGACCTTGAGAAGGCTGGTTAGAAGACTAATTACAAGACTGAGGGTGCCTGAAGCATTTAAACTTTTGACAATTCCTTTTCCAACATCCTGGCTCTTTGCAAAAATGAGCAGAAACTTGGAGCGTTTGGTTTCGTATTGGGGCTTTCATTTGCCAAGGCTGAAAATGAAAAATCATGGCAGTCTTACTTCTAGGTGGCTCATCTAGAGTACAAGCAAGCTGATTTAGCCAAATTAACTAAACCTAGGATGGACATGGTCTCTCATTCCTAGGCCCCTTAAAAGGGAAACTCTTGGTTTAGCTCATTAACAAGCAATGGAGTTAGAGGTTACCCGAGTGAAATCAACATCTGAAGGAAGGCCGGAATTTTCCTTTAAAGTGACCTTTTGTTGATTATAATAGTCATGAACAGATTCATCAGACTTTTGTGAGCAAGTCTGAATTTTGCTGCAATTCAACAGGCTTTGGGAAATTGCTCGATGTAGTTCTCTAGCGAGTTCTCTAATTTCTTCCCCCAAAATTAGAAGCTTGTTTTTCTAAATCTGTTTCAGGATGATCCCGTTGGGCAATTCTCATCCAATGTAGAGCCTGGTCTTCACCAACTAACACGAATTAGCTTATGTAAGTCAGAAAACCCAGACTGATAGGTCTGAATAATAATCAGATTCCTCAGCAAACTTTTGAGGATCCTTAGGAAATTCTTTGCTCCAGGGAACATATGAAACTTGAGGTTTGTTATGATCCCGAGAGCACTTAACTTTAAATAGAAAGGTCCTGATAAGTTGAGGAGGAAGGAGTGGGAGAGAAGTCAGGGGAAGAAGGCATCAGAGGGGAACTGGGGATAAGGGAGCCTGTAGTGAAGGCAGCATGGTATCAGAGTTGGAACTTGAAATAAGGAATTGGAGAAAAAGATCTTGAGGATACTGGAGAAGAAGCCTGTGGCAAAATATTCATAGGCCCTAGCCTCTTTGGCTCAGTGGATAGAGCATCAGGCCTATGGACTGAAGGGTCCTGAGTTCGATTCTTGGTCAGGGCACATGCCCAGGTTGCAGGCTCGATCCCCGGTAGGGGCAGTGCAGGAGGCGGCCAATCAATGATTCTCTCTCATCATTGATGTTTCTATCTCTCCCTCTCTGAAATCAATAAACATATATTAAAAAAACACACAGAAACCAAATTGGAGGATTTTTATTAAAAAAGAAAAAGGGAACAGGGTACCTGGAGATGGGTCCTGAGACAGTGGAGTAGAGGGGAGTGGCAAGACATCTTATATCATCTGTTCTCTCAATTTACCACTTGTGAGCTAAAATCAACATGGCAGTTGTTATATTTCTTGAGTCTATATTGAAGAAATGACTTTAATAACTATATATGATCTTAATAACTATGATATATAACTATATGATTTTAATAACTATGTGTTACATGACAGATAACATGTTATATATAAAAACATGGCATATATTGTGTAATGACGTGTGTACGTATAAAATTAACTCTAAGAAAAACAGAACAGTATTGGTTAATAGTGTTTTAGGATACAAAACTCTTATTTCAAGGGAAGACCTCTAATTAAAACAGGCCTATGGCTGCTTGTTGTCAGAACTTAGGCTTGTAGTAAATGCTAACCGAGAGTCTTCTTAAATTTTCACTTGCTTCCTTCTGCCAGTCACATCTCTCATCTCTTATTTTTTCCTTTTACCTGTAGACTCAGGTGTGAGGGTAAACCTGCATTGGGAAACAAA